TCTGGGAAGCTAGTCCCAGTTCCATATCTGCCTTGGCCTTCCTGACTGCCCCCCTACATCCCCGAGCAACTGCAGAATAGCCCTCCCTGGTGATGACCCCTTCTTTCCATTGGGTGTAAGCCTCCTTTTTAGCAAGGAGATATTCCCAGATGCTTTTGGTGAGCCATGGAGGCTTGTGTGCTCTCCTGTTCCCTTTGATCCTTGTTGGGATTACTTTCCTTTGGGCTTGGAGGATCGTCTCCTTAAGGAGTGACCACTCTTCTTGGACACCTGGCTCCCCTCCCCTCTGGGACCTCAGCGCTTCTTCAACTATCCTCCTTAGCTCGTTGAAATTTGCTCTCCTAAAATCTAGGGCTGCTGCCTTACTGCATGCCTTTGCCACCTTGCACTGGATGGAGAATTCCAGCAGGTGATGATCGCTGTCACCCAGGTGGTCGAGCACCCGCAGCCCCCTCACCAGGTCATCACCTGTGGCCAGCATGTGTATGTTTATAGATTGGGGAGGGCAAAATACATCCTGCAAGCTGGATTTGACTTGCCGAGGTGTTTTATCCAGCCTGTGGTGGGCCCTTGGCTCTGCCCTGCCAAGGCTTGGGCAGGGGGAAGCCCAGGCCATGGCACGTGTCTGGTCCCACTGCCACTGGGTGTGCAGTGGGGCTGGGGTTGCGTGATGGCTGGACCCACTTTCTGACAGCCCCCACAGTGTGGGGTCCTTACAGCTGCCACTTCTGGTCTCTGCCAATTCAACTCAACCTGGCCCTACTTACTGCCTGGGCACCCTGGCCTTTCTGCCCTGCACCTGCTGCCAGGGGTGCTGGATGGAGCAGGCAGTCAGGGTCTTGATGGGAACTGGACCACGACCTGTGTGAGCATCATGTGTTTGGCTTGGCAGATGGGATAGGGCCCTTGGTGGATGGGAAGTGGCATCCGGAAGCAGGACGGATGGCCAGAGCCAGGATTGCAGGGTGGTGACAGCACAAGCCTGGGGACTGGGGCAGAGCCCCAGTCCACTGCCTTCATGTCCCTGTGATGGGTACTGGTTCCGTAGCCAGGGGCATGCAGGGAATAAATTGCGGCTCTGTCCCAGGCCCCAGCCCCATGCTGTCACTACTCTGGGATCCCGATCCCAGCCCCAACGCTGCCCTCCTGTCCTACTGCCAGATGCTGCTCCCCATCCACCCAGAGGCCCATTCCACCTGTTCAGCCAAGCATGCCCTGCCCTTGTGGGTCTTGGGCTGGTAGACCCCAGGATTGCTGTGCAATGACAGCGTGGGGCTGGGTCCAGGGAAGAACCATGATCCACTTCCCACATGCCCCTGCTCACAGAACCAACTCCTGTTGCAGGGACATGTGGGTACTGGATCATGGGTCTGCCTCAGGTCCCAGCCCATCCTGTCACTGCCTCATGACCACTGGCCCTGCCCACCCATCCTGCTCCCAGATGCTGCTCCTTGCCCACCTGTGGCCCCATCCTATCTTCCTGGCCAAGTACAGGGCAAAGCCACTTAGGGAGCTTTAGTGAGCTGTTGCAGGCTGGGGAGGAACTGACTGGCTCATGATAGCCCAGCAACATTCCCTAAATGGCTCTCCAAATAATTGCCCATGCCTGGTATAGATACATGTGTGTTTGTATGGATATGTGTGTGGATATGTATACAAATGTGCAGTGGCATAACTTGTGGGAGGGGAACTAGGGGCAACTGCCTCAGGTGCTGACTTGGGGAATGGGGGTGCAAAAAAGCAGCTGCTGCCAGCAGCTGTGCATTCACAATCATGAACTAGAAGTTGCCACTTCTGCTTTGCCTTATCTGTACACTGCTATAAATATTTGCATGTGTGTATGTATAGACATATTCATGCTATACACTATGTGCTGCACCTATGTGTGTGTTACATATGCATAAATATATGTATGCAATACAAACAGACTTTTTATCTCTTTATATGTAACAGATATATGCACTTATGCTTGCAACTTTTACTATGAATATTGATATATTATGACTTATGTGTATATGCATGTGTATACTGTGTTCTTAAGCATGGTAGTTCATTTATTCTTGACTCAACACATTCATAAAAAAGTTAATTACTCACCTTCTCAGTTTTTCAGTTACTTTTTCAAGTTCTTCCTGAGCACGTCTCAGTTCTATTTCAAGATACTGGCGCGTAGAATCAAATTCTGTTTCAAGCATTTCCAGTTTGTGGGTAGTATAGGATAGGCGCTTCCGTAATTCCCCCTTCTGTTCTTGCAAAGTACTAGAAGAACAAACACCACAGCTGTAGCATTTAGCAAGTCTTGAAGGGTCTTTCTTGATCATTTTCACCCTCTTGATTTCAACATTTCACCATTGCATAGCATGGAAGATAGTAAGATAGAGAATGGGACTTAATCATTTATAAGTTTATTTCTATTACAGTATATTTTGAAACAATTATGTTGCCAGTACCTCCATCCATCCTTTCTAGGCCAGCTACCACTAACATCTGAATGCCATCCCA